CCTGTGTGGCACTACAGGAGAAAATACCTGCCTTTTAACTTCAAGGGGACAGAAGAGGGCACAGGAGCCATATGGCTAAGGATCACAACAGAGAGTGTGCAGGGAGTACAACGTGCTTTAATAATTTAGTTTTTCATTTGGTTTCAAGACCTGTCAAGTATCAAGGAATTGATACACACATATATAACACAGTGATTTTGTATATGCAAAGTCTTTGGAAATGCATGGGAAAATGTCTCATGAATTGTTAAATCTGGAATAAACAACTGGTACAAAACAACACTGAAGATCCTGAAAACCAGGTAGGCCAGGGCCAGGAGATGCTCAAACTCCTTCGGCATTATCCAGAATAAGTGTATCTAGTAATAATGCTAGTCCACTCTTTCCATTTCGAGTTACAAAGGCATATTTCAAGATAAACTACAAGAAAGGAAGTATTGAGTGATCCTCAAATCGCTAATTTCAACCCAAAATTATTAAAATGGGATCTTTTAAACTTATCTTTCTTTGCAGTTAAATTCAGAGAGAGAGAGAAACATCAACAAAGGTGGTAAACAAAAGATTATTTACCAAACACAATCACACAATGTTTATGAAAACACCTGGTAAAATTGTGCACCAAAAAAACAACAACAGGCTACTTAACTGCTCAAGGGAAAGGGGTGGGGGGAGGGGTGAACAGATTTTAAAAACAATGCTTAGGGTTTCAGACACCTATTGTGGCAGCAGGCAGAAGTCAGGAGAAATCTTCCTCTTGATCTCTGCGCACTCCTAGAGATCTGCGATTGCACCAGCTCCGTCTCGCCCCTTGCCTGGCTTTACATTCTCCTCGGGAGATCTTGCCTGTTCTGCCCTTGTGCACACTGCTCCAGAGAAATCAGCCCCATGGTGCCAGAGACTGGCTTTCCAGGAAGCTTTACCAGTAACTGATTTCAGGGAATGCCACAGCTTAGTCAGAAGGCATTTGAAAAGATTTATAACTTTCGCTGCCTCTTTTCTGATAAAGGTTTTTGTTGTTGTTGTTTGCTTTTTGCTTTTAATAGGCTGACCATTTTTGGTTGTCATTGCATTATAATGGCCAAACTACAGGTGTGTCGTTTTCCCTTTCCCTCTCAATTCCTAGTAAATAATCACGTAGACCTACTGTTTTAATAGTATCACTGTTTTTTGTCTTGTCCTGCTGTCTCTGTGCTTTGAAGGTCACACTTCATTTTTTTATATGCTTTTCTTTTCATTGTTAGAATACTTTTCACAAGAGATCAAAGCAAGCATGACAATTAACGGCATTTCTGAGTTGAAAAAAACTATGCTGCCCCGCCGGGCGTGACTCAGTGGTTGAGCATCAACCTAGGATCCAGGCGATCGGGGTTCGATTCCCGGTCAGGGCACATGCCCGGGTTGCGGGCTGCAGCCGATCAATGACTCATCATTGATGTTTCTCTCTCTCTCTCGCCCTCTCCTTTCCTCTCTCTGAAATCAATAAAGATATATTTAAAAAACAAAACAAAACACAAAAAACAAAAAAAATTATGCTGTTTTTTCTTAACAGTTTCATCTTGCATTCTCAGTTTAAGGGACTGCCCTAAATCTACATCTTAGGAACAAGGAGTGGTTAACTTTGAGCAGGTTGTTCATGACCCACCAGTCACCCTTACTATTTGGAATCAATTTGGATTCAGAATGAGAAGGCACTGTAGCTTTTAAAATCACTATTTAGGGTATCCATAGGCAAAAAAATAAAAATAAAAATCCTGACCTAAACTCACATCTTATACAAAAAATAACTCAAGCTGGTTACTAACTTAAATATAAAATAATACTATTAAAACTTTTAGGGAAAAAAATCTTCAAGACCTATAGATGGGCAAAGAGTTGTCAGACTTGACATCGAAAGCACAATCCATAAAAGGAAAAACTAATAAACAAAACTAAAAACTCTCATTCTGCAAAAGACACTATCAAGAGGATAAAAAAAAAAAAAAAAGCTACAGACTGGGAGAAAATATTTGCAAACCATAAATCAAAAGGCTAGTATCTAGAATGCATACAGAACTCTCACACCTCCACAACAACAACAAAATCCAGTTAGAACACGGGCAAAATGCATGAAAAGACACTGACTGAAGAGGATCGGTAGATGGCCAATAAGCACATGAAAAGATGTTCAACTTCTTTAGTTATTAAAAGAAATGCTAATTCAGCTACAATGACATACTGGTACCTTCCTATCAGAACGGCTAAAATAGACAAAAGTGTTAATACCAAATGCTGAGGAGGATTCAGAGAAACGGCTTCGCTGACACACTGCTGATGGGAAGGAGTGTAAAATAGCACACACAGCCCCTCCGCAAAAGACTACGGAAGTTTCTTAGAATATGGGAAGTTTCTTAGAATATGGAACGTGCTCTTGTCATCTGACCCAGCAATTTCACTCTTGGGCATTTATCTGGTGAAATTAAAACTTTTACATTCATGCGAAAACTGTACACAAATGATCCTATCAGCTTTGTTATTTCTTTATTAGATAAGGCACAGGTATAGATGGAAAACAGAAATAATCTAAAGGTGCCTTGCTGCTTCTTTTTTTTTAAAATATATCTCTAATATCCCCAACATCTTAAAACAAAAAATGAACAAGACCACGCCTTCCTCTTTTATTGAGGCTGTATCCTTAAAGCAGTGCACAAATAGGTTGGTTTAAACAGAACTATTTTTAATAGGATAACTGATATATAATGATCTCTCGACTTGATTTGTAACAGCCCCAAACTGGAAAGAACCCAAATGTGCTTCAGTGGGTGAATGGTTAACAAACTGTGATACATTCCTACCACGGAATACTACCCAGCATACAAAGCAACCAACTATTAATACATATAGCATATTGGACAGATCTCAAGTGCTATGGTCTAAATGTATGTGTCCCCCCACAATTCATACACTGAAACATAGTGCCCAATGTGACAGTATTGGGAGGTGGGGCCTCTGGGAGGTGACGAGGTCATGAGGGTAGACCCCTCATGAATGGGAGCAGTACACTTGTGGAAAAAGTATGAGAAGGCTCCTTGCCCCTTCCATCATGTGTGGTTACAGCAAGAGGACAACTTTATACTGTTACCACTGAATTAGCTAGCTAATATCAGTAACAGGCAGAGAGCAAAGAGAAGGCCAGACATTCATGGTCATCCAGGCGGTTTCACCAGGAAGCTACAACTTAGCACTGCCCACAGGGAACCCCCAGTCCATTCCCTGCAGGTCACCGGGAGAAGGGACTGGACAAGTGGAAGACGGACACATGCACAGTAAAGTCTGGGCGACCTAAGGACGATACTTGCCTATCAGTCTAGCCTGGGGAATCAGGGATTGGATAGAGCGGGTGGAGCCACTAAAGCACACGAAATCACAGGATAAAATCCCCAAGACAAAGGAATTCTCTCTCGTTCCTCTGGCTTGGCTCCTGCTTCCTTTTACTTGCCTATGTTCCCTCCCCGGCCATGTGGCCCTAGAAGTCACATGGCCCACAGTCATGCACACCCCACATGCAATAGACTACAGCTGGGAACACAAGCTAAGCTAGCCTGATGCTGCACTGGATTGTGCAAACTCTTGCTTTCCAAAGCCTTTCATTCATGGAACACACCCTTTGGAAACAATCTTATGTTTGAATACTGACTCTTACATGGCATGAAATGTACAAAATACTTACTTTCTGCATCTTAATTACCTCACTGGTAAAATAGGGGGGAAACCTAAGACATAGGTTTATTGTGAAGATAAATAAAATATACAGTGTAAGTACTTGGCACATAGTAAGTAGTTCCTTAAATATTCATTTCCTTCCTTTTCCCATTAACAAGCTGAAACCTAGCTTAATTTCTGGATACAAACATGAACAAAAAACTTTGGTTGTCCGTTACCAAGGCTTGTATTTGGAAAACAGGAAATGCATTTTTAACAAGCAAAAATTGGGGGTTGGGGATGTGATGAGCCTAAATTCAGTTCTAAAGATGTATTTCAGTTTAGGAGACAACAGTGATCATTTTAAGCTTATCTTCTAACTGATTTTGAAACCATTCTAATAATCAAAATAATTTATAAATATTTTATCATTCATTTTATTGTGATTAATAAGTGGATGCCATGTAGATGTTTAGATCTGTAGATAGCAATCAATCACATACTAGATTACTTCTACCAGATGTCAACAAATGTATATATGTTACATGAGTTCGAGCTTTAAAAATGACATGGGCACACTGGCCCTGGCCCAGTAACTCAGCTGGTTAGAGTCATCCCTATACACCAAGGTTATGGGTTCCAACCCCATCAGAGAACATACAAGAATCAACCAATGAATGCATAAATAAGTGGAACAACAAAAATAAGTGGAGCAAAAAATCGACGTTTTTCTTTCTCCCCCTTTTCCTCTCTAAAATCAATGAATAAAATATATGTTTTTTTAAATGACATGGACATCAATGATAGAATTTTTAAAAATATTTTTACTGATTTTTTTTAGAGCGAGTACAAGGCAGAGAGAAAAAAACATCAATTGGCTGCTTCCTACACAACCCAGGCATGTGCACTGCAGGGAACAGAACCAGCAACCTTTCTGTGCATGGGAAGACGCCCAACCTGAGCCACGCCAGCCAGGGCAGTGACAGAATTTTCATCCATTCCAACCTCCTACAAAAATACTATCTATTTATTTATTTTTCTGTCTGTGAGGTGTGTTTTTTTGTTTGCTTAATCCCTTTACCTTTTCACCCCAACCCAAAATACTTAATAGATAACTCACAAGGTATTAGACTTTAAATATGTCATAGATTTTTAATTATAGCTCAACCAATTAAGCTACAGAGCAGAAACAAAGTATAATTTCTACTGGCTACCTGCTCTGTTTATGAATAGTCACAAGACACAAAATGCCAAGTAATACAAAGTCCTCTCAAAACAATTTTTTTTCAGAACTGATATAACTTTGCAGAGGGAATGCTTACCGAGCAAAATAACTTTGTTTCCGTTCCTTCTTCTCTTCCTTGGTATCCATAATATGAAGTCAAAAAGTGCAAAGTATTTGGGGAAGTTCTTCTTTTTAATCAATGAATCATAACCCTGTAATACAAAACGCAACAAAGCGACTGTAAATTAAGACACTTACAACGGCCAATATTAAGAATAAGGCAGAGTGAACATACCTCCAGTGAAGATTAAAAAAAAAAAAAAAAGAAGGCAGCAGAGTGGAGCTACAAATGGGAGAAAAGCTTTAACCAGTCAACACAATTACATGAGTCATATGAAACACAAAAGCCAACGGCGGACTAAAATCCTACAGTGAGACTGGGGGTGTCCGACTGAAAAATAAAAGGCAGCTAGCAAAAGAAACTGAGGTGTTTTCCTCATAATAAACAATTATTTCTAAATGTGCTAAAATGAAACCACTGATTTTAGAAGAGTTTAGGCTAGCTATGCAGAAGCTAATTTTTTTTAAATTTAAACTCATAATCACTCTTTTCAAGTAATTAATAATGACTATGTCTCATACATAGGAAAAATGGATCAGTTAGGTAGTTTACAAGAATGTTCTTTCTTTAAAAATAAAAATCACATCACTGTTCCACTTTGTTTTCGGAAACATGCCAGTGAGTCCATCCCACTTGAGCAAATGAAAGTGAGAGTCTCGGGAAGCTGTTTGGAATGGCTTTGGACGCTGGCCTCTGCCGCTCCCACCACGGCTACCTTCACCTGTGTTTCCCAGGAGCACTTTAGACCTATAATAAAAGGTTGTCTCCAGATCAATCTTCCTTAAACACCAACTTTCATCACCACACCCCTGCTCAAACATTTCCAATGTCTACTTACTGCCTGATTCACTAATTTTCTGCAGAGCACTAACCTTTTCTAAAATCTGTCTTTAAACCGAGGGGTATCAAAGTAAAAGCAAAGAATGTTCAGCAATCAAACTGTTTACTAATTCACTTCAATTCAATAAACAATTCACATTACATATTACATGAAAGGTACTGTGCTAAGTATCAGATAAATAAGACACAATGTTTTCCCTAGTGGAAATTACTGTCTTGCAAGGGAAACGCCTAGAATTTCAGGTCAGTGGGCTACAAACTGCTACGGAGAAGGCACAGGTGCCACCGGAGGCTGGAGGAAGAACACTCGGCCTTATGCGGGGCCGCCCCACGCACCCCTCACACACACCAAGGCCTGAAGGATGAGTAGGGGTTTCCTAGTTACAGGATTCAGGGGCGCAGGTCCAGCCTGAACAAAAGCAAGAGGACAGTATTTCCCTGCTATGCCAGGATTAACTGTGGAGCAGGGCAGCGGTGGGAGCTGAGGATGGAGACGCGGCCGGGACTGGGTTTACGGAACGCCTTTCATGTCCCACCGAGGAGCCTGAGCCTCATGCCAGCTACGCATGCAGGAGGGGTGCTGCCCACCCCTCCCGGCACCTGTCACACATCGCCAAGAAATCACCGTCAGCCCGATGGCAGCGCTCACAGCAGACGTTACCACCCTGACCAGGGCTGGTTCAAGAGGTTAAACAGCTCTGAGGTGTGTGACAGGAAGCCGCCACGGGGTTTTACAGGATGGAGGGACATACGCAGACTGCAGATGAATTTAAAAGAATGGAGCATAGGGTGAAGCAGGTCTAGTAGAAAGAACTTACTGTAAAACTACTTCAGAGAGAAGGCCCACATTTAGGCAGCAGTATTTAACACAGGAAGAGTGGGGGATATGTCCAAGAAATATTTAGGAGGCAGATTAGTCGAGATTTGGTGACTTGCTCAATGTAGACAACATGGGAAAGGAAGGAAGGAAGGATGTCCAGGTTGCTGCTTCGGGGACTGGGGAGGCTGCGATACCAAGATATACAAGCTGCATGAAGGGATCCGACTGTGTGTGGGACCGGGGAGTATAAACAAATGAAGGATCAGTTCCGGACACGTCGTCTCAGAGGTGCCCATAGGCCAGTCAGCTGGAGACATTCACCAGACATGCGATTACGTCTAAAGCACAGGAGTGCAGTTAGGGCTGAAGAAAAAGATTTAGAAATGATCGGCATATGGTTGTAGTTAAGGGGAAGAAAAACAATATGATGATGATAACACCCTGCAACCATGACAACTATGCACAAGGCTCTGTATGGAAACACAGCCTGGGGGACACCGTCTGAACTCTTACTGCTTTATCTCCATGTCCCTGACATGGGCTCTACCCTCAAGTTTACCAACCTTTATGGAAAATAAGACGTGTGCAAATAACTAAAATGTAGGGTTAGTAACTTAGAGCTGTGCCAAAGACTACTACTAAGAATCCAAAAGACACAAAGTTGAGTTTTGATTGAGGTGTTAAAGTAAATCTTTCGGGGCAGTGTGGATCTCAACAGGTAAAGAGGAGAGAGAGGCTGTGCATTCCAGAAAGAGAGAAGACCTGAGCACAGGTGTAGGCGTGAACAGAAGACACATTCAGGCAAGGAGGAAAGAGCGGCGGCCAGGTAGGAAGAGCAAATAAATCATGATGCCTGCCTACCGTAAGTCATTTATTTCAACATGTTATCCGCATTATCTCTTTTAATCTTTACAACTACATTATGAGTTAGGTATCCATTAAAATGGGCTGAGAGATACTAGTTTCCCTAGTTTAACAGCAGCAGTTAAATCGGCACAAGTCCAGTTTGGTGCACATTTCAATGCCTTTCAACAACCGTGGAGCCAGGAAGCATTTGGATATGAGCTAGAAAAGAAGCCTGGCATCAGCAACGCCCACTATCTCAGCATAAATTCTGCAGGTTAAGACAAATGCACCTGGCACTGAGGGAGTGGGTCAATGAGGCCTCTGACAGGACCACATCAATAGAGCAGTGGGAGTAGAAGCCAGGCCTTAATGAATTACCCAAAGAGTAAAATTAATCTTTTACTCTTTGCCCAAGCTTGAAGTAACTTTATTACACTGTTCCTTCTGACCAGATCTAGCACAAGGCCCAGTTCTGCTTTGGAGCCTATCCTGACCACTTGCCTGCCCTTCTCTCTCTTCCTTTGGAGCTTATTTCACATGTCACTTATCACTTACTGGGAGGCACTTAATTACACTGGGTAACAATGGACAAGGCCACCTCACTTAACCTCCCCAGCCCCAAACAAACCCAAAGTTTCTTCAAGTCAAAAACCACCATGTTTCATATTTTCCTTATACTTACCTAAGTACATAACACAGAAATAAGAAGAAAATCCACATAAAGGATAAGCAAGTAACTAATCTAGACTTGGGGTAAAGACAATTATATGGCAAATGGATATAAACCCAAGGAATCCTCCCAAATTAAGAATTACTTGGGGATGATGGATGCACACTCAAGCCAGCCTCTCTCAGGCTCCAGAAAGGGTTAGGATGCCAGCTCTCCACCCTGCTCTGGGCCAGGTGGCTTATTTTAAAGTTCCTCTCCTGCACACCACCATATGCGATGATCTCTCTATATTAGATTTCCCCTCATGAATAAAAATGAAGTCATAGCAATCTAATTGGAAAATTTTTATATTGCAAGCTGAGCCAGAAACTAATATTTAGTTCCAGTGGAAAAATATTGACAAAAATAAGCACAAGAGAAAAATTATTAAATGATCCAAGAACTGACATCTGGTGCTGCTGTGTGTCTCTGGAACTGCAAAGCTTTTTGTTTTAATATATTCTATTTGATAAATTTAAAATATGCTAATCTTTGGTTTCTTTTAAATTTCTGGGAATTTTTATATTCCTTAAATGAGACAGATGCAGCCCTTTCAGCTCTAGACACACCAAGAGATTAACCAGAAAGAGATCAGCAAAGGGTTCCATAAAAATGATTTGCACTGAGCAGCCTTCATGCTTCAGTGAAGAACCAGAGCTCCTTAAATCAATCTCTAATGCGAACTACATTTTCCATTATAAATGGTTATAATGGGCTTCTTAAAAGCCCTTCTTTCACCTAATGTTGACTTTTCCTCACATCAATAAACTGTAAACTCATTCAAACACTGAATTATAAGAGTCTCTTACATTTACGGCCTATTACAGACCAAAAAGAATTTTATGAGGGAGCACAAGATGAATCTTCTATCTAAATATTTATTTTTGTGATCTTAAATCAGAACACTTGATTTAAACCTAAATTCAGTTCATTATTCAAATAAAAATGGCACATCCACCATCCTTACCTCATAAGAGCTGCGCGGAAGGCAAAGTACGTCTGGATTACCAGCAAAGTGCTCCCTGTTTGAGACCACGGTGCCACAGAGGAAGAATTTAAGCACAGAGCTATTGGAGACTTCCTAACTATATCCAACCAGTGTGAACCTACACCGTCCAGGGTGGCTTTTGGCTTCACCCCTGACACATAGCAGCTCCTTGTACATTCAGGTATAACTAGTCCAAACTGGAAAAAAACACAGCATACTCATGATGTCCATCAACTGTTTTCCCCAAAACATGTTTCTTATATACAAATGAAATAATGACAACAACGTGCTTTGAGACTTGGTCACACTAAGTTTAGCCATTTAAGGAACAGACCAAAATGTTTCTTTCTGTGCAGACATTCCCTTCTAGAAAATACACTTATAAAGAAATATAATGGGTGTTCAGTCTTTCTCAAAGCCACACTGTTATCTAAAGTAACAAAGGAAGGCCCTGGCTGGGTGGCTCAGTTGGTTGGAACATTGTCCCATACACCAAAAAGGTTGTGGGTTTGATCCCCAGTCGGGGTGCATATGGGAGGCAACGGATCAATGTTGCTCTCTCATATCTATGTTTCTCTCACTCCTCTCTCTCTCTCCTTTCCTTCTTCTCTAAAAAAAAAATTTTAAAAAATCATTAAACAAACAAAAAAGAGTATTAGTCAAAGGAGCTGGTCAGGTTTAGCCTGGCAAGAGTTGGTATGAAATGACAGCTGTTTTCTAGTATCTCGAGGATCTTTTCTGGTAGAGGATTTAGGCTTGTGCCAATAGACCATCAAGAGGTATACCTAGAACCAGGCATTAAATGTGCAGGGAGAGGGTCTTTGCTCAAGTAAGAAAAAACTGTCTTACAGACACATGCAAAGAGCTGCCTCCAGATAGAGTGGCTTCCAAATCTCCAAAAGTGATTGAGCACAAGCAGAATGACCACTTCATGAGACTGCTGTAGACCAGCAGTTCTCAACTTTATCAGAATCAACACCCCTCACCTAAATAAATACATAAATATTTTCTCTATATATGTTTTTTAATATATCTTTACTGATTTTAGAGAGAGGAAAAGAGAGGGGGAGAGAGAGATAGAAACATCAATGATGAGAGAGTCATTGATCGGGCCCACAACCTGGGCATGTTCCCTGACCGGGAATCGAACCCCGATCGCCTGGATCCCAGGTCAACGCTCATGCCCGGCTGGGATGTAAATATTTTCAAATACTCCTTTTATATGATTGAAATGAAGTTTATGGATAATATAACCTACTTACACACCTAATTTTATGAAATCAATATAATGCCCAAAGGAAAAGTAATTGATAGTAAATTCTCACGTTTTTAAAAAAATCTATACAATGCCAAAAAGAAAAGTAATTTATAACAAGTATTTCAATTAGTAAACTCAAAAGCACAAGTTCATTAGAAGCCATAATGAAACACTTACATGCTTACAGCTACTTACATGGACAAGTTAAGCCCTAGTCAGTTTGGTTCAGTGGTTAGAGCGCCGGCCAGAGGACTGAAGGGTCCGGGGTTTGATTCTGGCCAAGGGCACATACCAATCAATGTGTCTCTCTCACAATGATGTTCCTCTCTCCCTCCTCTCTCTCTCTGTCTCTGTCTCTCTCTCCTCCCCCTTCCACTCTCTCTGTAAAGCAATGGAAAAAATATCGTCAGGTGAGGATTAACAAAATAAACAAATAGGACAAGTTTAGCTGTAGGAGAAACAAGATCAGGAACTATTTCACTACATATGAGAAGCACAGGAAAATGAAAGAGTAGAAGTGCGGGAAAGGGAAAGGATGGGTAAGGGGTGGGGGTGGTGCATAGAACATTAGAATAAAAACTAGAGCTATAAATAACCAAAGTGATATTTCTATGCATGGCGACTATCTTTTCTTTAAATGTCCCACTAAATATTCATGTAAGTCCTACAGAAGATAGGAAATTCCCAAGTATAAGGGACAATTT